CTGCCTGCTAAATTGTGGCATTAAAGACACATACCACCATGCCCTACAAGTTTGTTGTTGTGTTCATGTGTGTGTGTCTGTGTGTGTATGGATTTGTGTGTGTTTAATTTTAGACAACCTCCCATGATGTAACCAAGCTGGCCTCAAACTCCCTGAATTCCTAATCTTCCTGCCTCCATGCCCCATGTGCTGGGATCCCAGACATGCATCAGTATGAACATACAGTATTACCAATCCATTTGTCTGTTTTTTACAGGGTCTTACATACCCTAGGCTGACCTCAGATTCACTATACAGTGAGGCTGATACTGAATTTAAGATTCTCGGGCTTCTGCCTTCCTGATACTGGAATTACAGGTGTGTGCTATCATGCTTGGATGAGTATGTGACCCAGGATTTTATGCCTGCTAGGCAAGTACTCTACTAACTAAGGAATACCACCAATCCCTATTTTAGTATTTTTGAGACAGGGCTTCACTGTGCAGCCCATGACAGCCTCAAATTCTTCATCTTTCTGCTTCGGCTTCCTGAGGGCTGGGGTTACCAAGTACTGGAACTAAAAAGAGTGTAACACCAAACATGACTTCCACCATTTTGGGGTTTTTGGTCCTTGTTTAAACATATGCCATAGAAAGCACAGGGTCCTTTTCAGTTCTGCTGCATTTATATGTAAAAAACACTATTTTTATAGGGCCCAATGCCACTGGCCCACTGTTAGAGAGGCCAAGGGAAGATTATAAGGAAGGGGTATTCAAAGGAAAAGCCTGCCTGTGCAACAGATAGAGTTCAAAGCTAGTCTGTACTCAAGATATGGAAAAAAATTAAATGGCTGGGGATATAGCTCAGTATTAGAGGGCTTGTCTAGCATGTGAAAGGTCCTAGGTTCAATCCCCAGCCCTTGAAGAAAGAATAGATTTTTTTTATTCCAGAGGATTGTAGCTTACTTCATTCCCGCTCTCTACCCTAGTCCTGGAGAAGTTTCATCATCTCTTATTTGTGCTTCTACTATTTGCATTTTAAAATATGCATCTTTCATATATTTTCTTCATTTAGTTTTTTTTTAAAGACAAGTTCTCAGTATGTTACCCAGAATGGCAATAAACTCTCAATCCTCCTGCCTCATCCTACCGAGTGCTATGATTGCAGACATAGTCACCATGCCCAGCTATCAATTTTAAGATCATGAAAAAACTGATAAGGACATTCTAGAAATAAAACAGAAGCAGATTAGTGTCTAAGAGGCAGTGTCTGTTCAGTATTCCCAACCATCATGATTAAGACACTGACCATATGTGGAACGTCTAAAACTGAAAGGACTGGGAGAAATTTCAATGAAGACGTCCTGAAACATTACAGCTGAGTGTGATTCTCAATTGACAGGGAGTAGGGTCTATGTGGTGCTCAACAAACAAGATAAACATAATAAGCATAAAAAAGAATGGTTGGGCCAGTGAGAGGATGCAGCAGATTAAGGCACTTGGCTATAGAGTCTGATGACATGAGTTCCAGCTTAGGGTCTCACATGGTAGAAGAACAGAGTTGACTCCCCAAAGTAGTCCTCTGATCTCCACATGTATGCTATGCTACAAGTACAAGGTGCGAATGTGCATGAAGACACACAATAAATAATTAGTATGCAAATGTAATTACTTTAAAAAGAGTGTCTTCTTTTTAAAATTTCATACAGAAAACATAATTGGTTTTAGTTCTCAAGAAAATACATGTGTACCAGGGGTTAACCGTTTAACAGGGAAATGGTAGAAAGATTGGGGAAAGGAGGGAGAAGAGAGCATGGGGAAATCAAACTAAGGATGTATGGAAAAGCTTTATGGAAAGCTACTAGTTTGTAAGCTAATTTCAAATAGAATTCAGGGCTTCAGAGATAGTTTAGTGGTTAAGAACATTGGTTTGGCTCTAGCATCCATGTGGCAATTCACAACCACCTGTAACTCCAGTTCCAGGAGAATTCAACAGCCTCTTCAGGCTTCAAAGACATTACGTGAACAGGTGCACATGCATACAAGCAAGAAAAAAATTCATATATGTAAAACAAAAATAAATTAAAATTCATTTTTAAAAAACTAGTTATAGGCTAGAGAGATGGCTCAGCAGTTAAAAGCACTTACTGCTCTCATAAAGGACACATGTTCAGTTCCCAGCACCCACTCTAAAATGTTCACAAGTACATGTAACTTCAGTTCCAAAGGATCCAATGATCTCTTCTGGCCTCTGCCTGGACCAGTACTCGCATGCATATACATGCTATGCGTGTGTGTGCACTCGTGCGCGCGCGCGCGCACACACACACACACACACACACACACACAAATGAAACCAATTTTAAAGTGTTTGAACAAAGCTGTGCTATATGGGTGGACAATGCTGCTCCTAAAGACATGGGTTATAAGACAAAACCTCAGTTCCAGGCATGATATACCTCCCTCTGAGTTATTGGTCTCACAGGCCCCAGAGGCTATTAGCAATGTTCTTGGCTGCTTGTCATAAGTAGATATTAAGACCTGGATGCTAAAGAAAACACATTACTTTGCCATATACAGAGAAATCAATGGGGAACTGACCTGAACACTTCTCCTGACAAGCTGCCATAGGACTACGAGGTGTGGCATAGGCCACTGGGGAAGAAAAGACACCAATGATCTTACCCATGGCTAGAGCCCACAGTACTGATCTGCCAGGCAAGAGGTGTCCACTTCAGCCATGGCATAACCGTTACAGCGCAACTAACTACTTTATGATTTGATTTTAGGCTGATCCATAATTCATGCCTGTTGCTGTATGCTTGGTCAAAGCATGTGCCTGGGATAGCAATAAGTCATGGGGGGGGGGGTGGAGAACCTACTGCTGTTCTTTTGCTGAATGGACATATTATTGAACCTTCTAACTATTTATGCTTATGTCCATAGATCAGTGCTGCTCTCCCCCTTGCTCAGGCAGGTTCTTCCTGCAGTGGGCAGTGTTAAGACAGAGACCCATAACTGCTCCGAGTGCTAAAGTGGCTGTGAGTGTTCCACCCTATAATGGGACTTGGGTATCAGCCATCAACAATGGTTCAGGGAACATCAAAGAAGAGATGGAAGAATGGAAGAGCTGGAGTATGGAGAGGGTTGCTGGGAAATGCTGTCTTCTGGATACAACATAAGTCCAAATCAGCTACAGGTATCTGCACAAGATCAAGCCAGTCAACAACATTCCAGTACAGAAGGGAAAAGGGTTCATGAGGGCCCTCCATTAGCCGAGGAGCTACAGTAGATGAGGACAACCTGGGCTACAGAGAAAGTTCCAGGACAGTCAGGGATACACAGCAAGACCCCATTTCAAACAAAACAAAAACCAAAATAATACAAAACAACAATAACAACAACAAAACAAAGTCAGGTGGTGGTGGTGCACGCCTTTAATCTCAGCACTCAGGAGGCAGAGGCAGGTGGCTCTCAGTCAGTTCAAGGCCAGCCTGGTCTACAGAGTGAGTTCCGAGATAGCCAGGACTATTACATAGAGAATCAATGTCTCAAAAAACCAAAACCAACAAATGAAACAAAACAAAACAAAAATACAAGTGTAAGCTAGGTATACTTTTAGTTCTAGGAGACAGAAGCAGATGGATTTCTGTGAGCCCAAGGCCAGCCTGGTTTACCTACAGAGCTCCAGGCCAGCCAAAGATACGTAGTGAGACCTTACTTTGAAAACAAACAACAAAAAACAAAAATCAAAAACACCAAATCCAGATGGCTATGGCTCAGCAATAAAGAGCTTGCCCTCCTCTTCCAAAGAACCCAAGTTTGTTTCCCAGTACCCACATTGGGCTGCTCTCAAAAGCCTGCAACTCCAGCTCCTGAGAATCTGGTGCCTTCCTGTGGCCTTTACAGGTAGGTATCTGTATTCGTATGAACATACCACATGCATCCATACACATCAATCTTAAAAAATAAAGGGCTGGGAAGAAGGCTCAGTGAATAAAGCACTTGACACAAAAACACGAGGATCTGAGTTTAGAGCATCAGAACACATGTAAAGCTGCAGAAAGCAACACACATCCATAATCCAAGAGGTTTTACGATGGGACTGGAGGCTGAGATAGAACCAACTTTCTGGCCAGCTAGTCTGTCTTATGCACAGAACAGAAAGAAAAAAAAGAACAAGATGAAAAACAAAACAACAAAACCCTCCCAAACAAGACTGAAGATGACAACCAACAACTAAGAGGTTTCCTCTGACCTCTACACCATGGAACATATGCTATGGCATAGGCACCTGCACTTGCATACACGAACACATACATATGAAGACTTCTTTAAAGAAATGTTGAGTGACCCTTTCTGTCAGTGCCATGCAAGCTTCTCCTCCCCAACCTCAGCCTTTATCACATCCTCATCTCAGAGCCTCATTCACCCCTCACATGCATCCCGAAAGCCCTACAGCTTCTCATGGCTCTCCTCCTTCCTCTCTGCTTAGACTTTCTTGGTCCTTCTTCACAGTCTTCCCCTCTACTTGCTGACTTCATTGAGATCCTGAGGTTTCTGGGAAAGCCCCTCTGACTTCCCTGCATAGAACTGAGTGTTCTCTTTGTGGTCTCATTGCAATCTGTCCTTCACCTCTTCGTCCTCTGTCCTTCACAGAACATACTCCTCTCTATGGAACTTATTTGCTTAAGACAGGCCTTTCCTATGAATGGCTCGAGCAGAGATTAAGCCATTACCTTTTAGATTGTTAAAGTGTAAAAGAGCCTGGCACAAGGCTGAACAGAATCAAGGCTCCAGCCACGTCTATTAGAAAGGCACCCTCCTTTTGGCAAAGGATATAGAGTGGCACAGTTGTTCTGGACAGGGGACCTGAAATGATGCCATGCTTACAAGCTGCCTGCCCACACCATTCTAGTGGGACTGGCTGAGACCCAGATTCTGTGCTGTCTCCCAGACTCCCATGGTAAGCGCCTTTCAGTGGTTCCTCCACTCACCTTCCCACCCCACTGCTTTCCTTACCTGTCCTCCTTGTTGATCTGGTCCCCAAAGCCCACAGTGCTCACAATCGTGAGCTTCAGCCCCACGTTGCTTTCCTGGAGGTCATAGGTATTAGATCGGAGCTGAACGCCTGGCTGTGTGTGGGTGGCTGGTTCCCCCTCGAACTTGGTGTTGAACAGGGTATCCATGAGGGTGGACTTGCCCAAACCTGTCTCCCCTGAAAAGCAAAAGATACCACACCGTGACTATGTAGCCATTACAAATCACATTTCACATATGTGTGTGAAGGGAGAAGTGTATATACGAGAGCACAAAGTAAAAAGTCATGCACAGGTACATAGTATGTACAGCATCAATTATATGAAAAAGGAAAGCAGACATGGGCCACCAGCATACAGCTCATAATCCCAGAGAAATAGCCTAATTTCCATTTCAGCCTTCATAGTGCTTTTCTGTTATTTGAAGCTTTACCTTGAGCATATGATGCTATTAGAGGCAGAGAAACAAACGACATGTGAACAGATAGAGGGGTATAATTATCCCTAGAAATAGACTGTAAAGAAATATATTCGTATTAATGCTTACCTATGAGTGGTACACTCATATGTAGTTCTCACTTGCCTTTAGTTTTTCTGTATTTTTGAAGTAGACTGTGTAAATAAGTACCAAGTGTCAAATAAATACCCTTTCCTCTCATGCCCTGCCTCAGGTTCTGTCAGGCCTAAACAGTGCTCAATTCCACAGATGTCACAGCTTTGTCTCCCAGTGGGGAGATGGTATCTAGCCTTGGCTTCTCCCAGCCTAGATGACCTTTCAGTGAGACCATTTTTTTAATCTACTGAGGAATGAACTTAAGCCACAAATTCTTCTTCACTTTCAAACAAAGCAGGCATTTGTTTGCTTAACTAACATGTCAACTGTATGCTTCTAATAAATACAACCACTAGAATTTCACACTTGGGTGATGAATGGGAGAAGGGTTATGCTGGACTGCTAATGGTTGAGGAGATTATTTGTGGGAGAACAAGGGGTACCAAAGCACTGTCTGGAAGCAAGGAGTCTCTGGAGAGTGACAATCACAATCACACATTGGAGAGAAGCTGGGGGCATGGAGTTAGGCAGGAGTCTGTTTGAAGCCACAGCTGGGTTAGCCACTAAAACCCCTTAGAATCTCTATGGCTTCAGATTGGATTTGGCTCCTCATCCCACTCCGAGTGAATCAGAAAGCCTAGGAATACAAGTGAGTAGCTAAGCTGAAGATGTAGCTCAGTGAGTAGAGTATAGCGTAGCATAACGGAAGCCCTGTTTGATCTGCAGCATTGAAGAGACTGAGCAAGGTGACACACATCTATAACCCTGGCACTTAGGAGATGGAGGCAGATAGGAAGGATAAGATCAATGTGTCACATATCGAGTTTGAGACCAGCCTGGTCTTTGTATATGTCCTTAATCCCAGCACTTGGGAGGCACAGACAGGTGAATCTTACTTCAGAGTCATTCGGGCCTGCATAGTAAGTTCAAAGACAGCAGGGGCCATGTAGAGAGACCCTGTCTCAAACAAACAAAAAAACAGACAGACAAGTAAATGACCCTGGACCATTCTTTGAAAGTCTCAGACCACACTGATTTTTACAAGCATCATCCCTCTTCTTCCTATCCCTTCCCAACCCAGAAGAGATTCTGTGACCTTTGACTTACCCTCATGGTTGAGATTAGGTTTACTCTGGGTAATTCCTGGCCAAGCAGATCTCCCCTTGGAGAACGACAGTACACATTTGCACGGCAGTGCGTAGAACTGCATGATGGGAAGTCAAAAATGTTCCCGCTCTCCCTACCTTCCCACTGTGTGTAGCTTTGCATCTTCCAAGCTCCTTTATCCTAAATAATGATCTACAAAAATTTTACCTATGATGAGAGCTTTCTATGTACACAGAGAGAAAAGAAGATTCAATTTATCCTGGTTCCCAAGGTCCCCGGCCCTATTTCTTACTCAGGCATTGTGGGTGCCCATAAAGATGGCTGCACTCCATGTTGGCACAAGGGCAGAGAGTTCAAGGCTGTCAGCAAGTCACAAGACCTAAAGGCCAAAGGTGTGGCTACAGAAGGATGCTTCAGCCGTCTTAGTCTAAATAACAGACCTGAATCTGAGGTGTGGCTACTCCCGACTGTCAAGGCTAAGGGAGGAGAAGTTGAATCTGAGGTATGGCTATTCCTGACCTCAAGGCTAGGGAACAAGAGGTTAGAGCTAAGGTGTGGAAGTGAGGAATTAAAGTCTGTTCGTTCCATATACATGATACTGTGTTCCCCTTTTTGGTTAAAGTATATAAGAGTGTGAAAAATAAACTCATGGCGTTTCAGTATTGACTGATTTGCCCTCCTGACCTTTATTCTGTCTCTCTCTTTCTTTATTGTCTATAGCTAGCCTTTCCTTCATCCATAATCCCCCACTCAGGTACAGACTTGGGAACGCTCAGCTGGCTCCGATTGCAGCCCCAAAAAGACCACTACCAACAATGAGGTGGACTGGCAGGGTATAGAGATTGTGTTTCCAGCCAGGGTCTGCTATATCCATCAGGGACGATGGTTGTCTAAGAAGACGCCCCCCTTTTTTGTCCTCCCCTAAAGAAAGTATTTGGGCCCCAAGAAAATATGGTGCAGTGAGGTCTTTGCATGCATCAGAATTCAGCACCCATTATCCCACCAAAGGACAACAGGACAGAATCTCTGAGGTGGGAATGCAAGGATGCTCCAAGTCAACTTCCCTGTGGACATCCATATTTCAGGTACATTTCAACCAGATTTTGTATGTCTAATGGATTTTCCATGTACATCCTCAACTTCATCCTCTTTGTCCTTGAGCTCAATACTGATGGCCCTGCTACTCCTAGACAATGATGCGCTCCAGTCTCCAGAGCCTCCAGAGTGGGATCCCTTACTCCACATCCTAAGATTTCTTGGATACTCCTCTGTATCCTTGCCTGGAGAAAGCCTCCCTTACAAGGTCTCAGGAACAGAGCTACAGAGCCAGAGACCCACCCTGTTTGCACAGCTGGAGAAATGGAGGCTGGATAGGGTAGGGCAAGCAGCAAGGAGGAACAGCAAGGAAACTGACCACCCAGATGCCTGCCAGCAACAAAAGGGCTGTGGCTGTGGCAACTAGATGTTAAAGAATGAAGGGCTGGAAGAGAAGAACTTGTCATGTCTAGGGAATTGCAATAAATGCAGGCATTGGAAGGAGTCAAAAAAAAAAAAAAAGGTGGCCAGCTCCTCCAAAGATCCCTGAATGCTTCTGCTCTCATGGGGGACCTGGAGCTGGAGGGACACCCTCTCTCAATAGCCTGAGACTACAATGCATCTCCTCCTGTAGCTGCCTTGGGTCCAATAGTAAATGTGCATGGGGATATGACACGTGGCCTAGCTGGGATCAGGTCAGCAGATTCCACCATGCCTCAGCAAGAAGGTAGGAACTTGGCAACTGGCTTCCAGCAGGAAACTCAACGAGTCCCAAGGGCTCGATTTCCCTCCCCTTCTCCCCCGCCCTCCCAGAGAGTGTCACAATGGAGAGCAGGGTTTCTCATGTCTTTGAACTCCTGTCCTACTTCTCACTTTGCTTATTGTTGACATTGCACTGGAAACAATGATTTTTAAAAAAATAACGGAGCTGGAGAGATGGCTCAGTGATTAAGAGCACTAGCTGCTCTTGCAGAAGACTTGGGTTTAGTTTCTAGTATCCACATGGCAGCTCACAGCTGCCTGTAACTCCAGTTCCAGGGGAACTAACACTGTCTTCTGGCCTCTGCAGCCACCAGGCACACATGCAGTATGCATATGTACACACCGGCAAACATCCATACACATAAAATAAGTAAATCTCTTTTAGAAACAATTTAAATTTGTCAGGCAGTGGTGGTGCACACCTTTGATCCTAGCATTCCAGAGATAGAGGCAGAAGGATCTCTGTGAGTATGAACCCAGCGTAGTTCCAGAGTGAGTTCCAGGACTACATGGAGAAACCCTGTCTCAAAAAAAAAAAAAAAAAAAAAAAAAAAGGAAAGAAAGAAAGCTACTACTATTTTGCCATGTGACAAAATCAAATCTCAGCCCTGTACCCAGTCTGGATTCTAGTCCTTTATCCTATAAAGGGGGAAGATTAAAATAACAATAGCGGGTGGGTTTTTTTTTTTTTCTGGGGCAGGGATGTTGGCTTGGTTTTGAGATGAGGTCTTGAACTCATAAGTCTCCTGCCTCAGCCTCCCAGGTGCTGGGACTTCAAGGCACACAAGAAATACCAATAGTATTTTCTTATAGTAGCACATTTCTGTGTTCTGTGCTGGGATTGCTGTGAATAAATACATATTTTCTATTCCTTGTTGGAGTGCTGGGAGTGGAACGGAGGGCCTCACACTTGCAAGGCAAGCTCTCAACTACTGAGCCACACTCTCACTTTCCACAAATTTTGTTTGTTCCTTAGAGCAAGTGTATAAGGTAGACACTACGATGTTTTTACTTTTGGTGCTGAGAATGGAGCCCACGGCCTCAACTCCATCAGCTTAAACAAGAGCTCTACCCCTGGCTGGCATCTGGAGGCAGAGGAAGGCAGATGCGTGTGAATGCCAAGCCAGCCTAGGCTAAAAAATGAGACCCTGTCTCAAACAAACACACAAGCAACAAAAGAACTCTATCCCTGAACTACAACCCAGTCAGCCCCTACACAATACAATTTACCCTTAATTTCTAGTTAGATTAAACAAGTTACCCACCCACTAGCTTCATGAATTTGCAAATCCTCCTCCTCTCTGAATCCAGTTTTCCTCCTCTATACACTGAAATGACAGTCCAAGGTCACAAACTAATAAATGGCAGAGCCAGGATTTTCATCAAGGCAGGCTACTTCTGTAGCCTATGCTTTGAACCAATACTCTCTACTGAGGCCCACAAGCGTGGCATATTGGTTCATTTAGTCACTCAACAAGTAGTTACAAAGCCTCTGATAATAGCCAGACACAATTATAGGGGCTGAAAAATACAGCAAAGAGCGAGATAGCCACAGTTCACACGGAGAGAAGTCTCACTCAGCTGTAAATGGTGGAATAAGCCAAGAGAAAATGCTGCTGAGTTCAACAGGGAGGTGTCCAAAAGGAAACACTCCAGGAACTACAGTTGGCCATGGGAGTCTATGGAGAGTGACAAGGTCATGCCTGGCTATGTAACCTTGTCTTTCCTCTTTCCTGTTCTTGCTGGGGCCTGGCAGACTAGTGTGTTTCAGCCAGCACATGCAGCTTCCTGTACCTTGTCCCAAATCAGTGTTCTGTGACATTGGTAGCTGAAAAATCAGATGTGATAGAAGTAATGACACCCTGGAACTCAGTAGATGCCATAAATCATGGGCCATGTTCTCCCATGGTGCCTTGTTGGCCAGTGACCAACCACTGTGGCCGCTTATGGCTAACAAGTGTCTTTCCCAGAGATAGAGGGATGGGAATGTTAGCCCCTGACCTTCATAGATTTCTAGCTGCCCTTTACACACGTCCTGCAGTAAAGCCTCAATCCTGCTTGTCCTGAGTGTTTTCCAAGTTCAACAGAGCCCAGTTGAGCCTGGAATCCTGAGCAGCTTCAAAGTAAATATTATCATTATGAGCCTTTGTGTTCCTCATGGCCATTAGTGCTGCTAGCACATTTGGATGCACAAGTCTCTTTGGGGCTCTTTCCCAGAAGTACAAAGCACCAGGCCGAAAAACATTGGGATTGTTGGCTCATGTTTTTCTTTTAAGGTCTCCTATGTGGATATTTACAATCATGGGATACTCAAAATTTCCAAAGCTAAGGGATTGGGATATGTTTTTTGATGGGATGGGGATAAGGGGATCTCCCCTCACTTGGTAACTACTGTTAATTTTAGAGAATCTATCAGACAGGGGTCATACATGCTTACATCTTTGTAATAATATTACATCTTTGTAATAATAATTATGGATGGAAATTATCGGTACAGTCAATTTATTGCACTATAATTTAGGCTCTGGATTCATAAAAGTTCCCTCTTTTCTCAATCTTAACAAGCACACATGCACATAGGCACACATAAATGTACAATACTTACTCTTCTGGGTGTGGGCATAAGATCAGCAGGCCAACAACAAGATAAATAATAATGTGAAAAAAAAAAAAAAGAACTATCCTAGCTCTCCAGCTAGCTCTCAAGCCTAGCATGGTCATAAATCGACACTAAAAATACTTCAGTTAAACAATTTCGATGGCCAAACAGAACCATGTTATAACGGTTGCCAAGGAGGTAAATTTGACAGCCTTACACAGGTACAAGACATAAGAACACAGTCACTAAAATTCCTGCAGGAGCAAAGATCACCTTCAGTAACCTCATTGTGGACTCTGCCAAGTCAGTGACAATTCCCAGCACTATAGCTGGCCTGAGATGGCAGTCTCAGAGCCACTTGTGACCTTGATGCAAATTAAGGGTTCTCTGGCCATGGCAAAGTTATGAACACAAGAGAGTGGGATGCACGCATTGAAGGTAGCTTTTGATCCAGTACAGGGGTTGGGTTATCTACTGGTCCTATCTATGGATTGTAAGAGGAGAGACATTTCCTCAAACTTGACAAGTAGAGGGCGAAAGAAAAGATACAGGACTCCTTGGGCATAAAAGGGTCCTATGTTCTTCCCCCCTTCTCTTCTGTGAGAGTCTGCTCCAGGCCCATCAGCAACTTCGTGACATCAGGTGTATGCTGAATCGATTTAGAGATTAATACCCTGGTGGGAGCATGAGTTGGCTATCCCACTCACCTTGTCTTGATCTTGACTGCTTCATCCTGGGGACTCTGAGGAGTCAAGATTCATATGAGCAATTTCCCCACACTTTGTTATCAGAGTGCCGTTTGGACTCACAGGGCCTTACCAGTGCAGTCTACTGCTCTAGGTTGAAAGGTTGCTTACAGTGGGTTTGTCATCTTGCTTTAATCTCAACTTCAGTACAGGGTCATAAGGCACTCTGGGAGGAATGCCAAGGGAATCTGGTATGTGTGTGCACTGGAGTATTTCAGTCTTCAAATATTGTGTGAAATAAGTTGGCCATTAGCCAAAGATTGATCTTGGTAGCTAAACAGAAGTTTGGTAGTGCCAATATTAGACGTGATGCCATTTGTTCTTGAGGTTGATTACCCTGTCTTGCATTTATTTTCTATCCCTGTCCTAATTAACACCTAAACATGACTGCGAGTTAGACTTTCAGCACTCAAAGACTTGGCAACCTTTATGCAGACTCTAAGGCCTCTGAAGTATAATTCCACAAAGCACATATTTTTGTCTCATGGGCTCCAAAGCTGATACATGGGAATGAGTCACTTTTGCTGATGAGTGAGCCTAGATGGCTGCCTGTCACCCATATTTAGAAGTGACCTTACTGCTCTATTTGTCCTTACAGCGAATTCCTTACAGAAAGTGACCTGGTAAAGAGGACTGGAGAAGGAGAAGGAAAAAAAAAATCCTAAGAAGATGAATGACTTCAAAGAAATTTGAAGGACATTCTATTTATTTATTTATTTATTTATTTATTTATTTATTTATTTATTTGAGAGAAGGTTTCATCATGCATCCAAGGTTAGATGAAAATTCACAGTTCTCCTAACTCAGCCTCCTAAACCACCACACCCAGCAGAAAAAGAAATTTTCAATACATCAAACAGTAAAGTACATAATTCAGTAGTGGTTTAAATCTATGATGCGAATGAGTTCCCCATATACTCTATACAAAAATAAGAAAAGGAAAATTACCAGAAGTGTGTAAGTGTTCCAGCCAGTGTGAAAATTGGCTTTATTATGGTATTTATGCAACCATTAAGGTTCAGAAGGGGGTCACTGCAAATATGCAGGTATACTTTTCTTGCACTGTGGGGTGAAAATTATATGCTACTACTGTGTTTGTAAATTGGGGATTTTTAAGGTTTCAAAACACACTCGTAAAGAATAACAAGGTACTATTGTCTCTCGTGTTTGTTTGATGGCACTCAATGGTTTCCAAAATACTTTCATGGTCTCTGGGGATGTGGCTGGTACTTAGAGCAGTGGGAGGAACAAGAGGTCAGGCTGGCTTGTATCCCTGGTTTTGGCCCTGCCAGTTTTTCCATGTTGCCTCAAGTAAGTCCTTTGTCCTCCTCAATTACCCTCTCTGTGTGGATAAGGATACTACTTCCAAGCCTCACTTTGCAGACTGGGAGCCAGAACAGCTGATGTGAGAAACTGTTGAGAAGTATAGCAAGTGCCTCCTGTGGACTCAACGTATTCACTCACTTCAGAAACACTATTCAACTGCCCTTGTGCTATGATTAGCATGCCACGTGGACTACAACAGTGCCTCCCCATGTAGGTGTGGTGGTGTGGGACCATAGCCCCAACACATGGGAGGCTAAGGTAGGAAGACCGAGAGTTAGAGGCTCGCCTGGGAGGCCTAGTGAGTCCCATGCCAGCCTCGGCAACATAATGAGACTCTGTCTTAAAACATAACAAAATAAAGCCCAGGCAAAGATACAGGTAGGGGAATAGAAGATCTTTGTACACAGCTGTGTGATTTCCTACACTTAAGCTCCAACTGTACCAAGCCCAGACAAACCACAGAGACCCAGCCAACTACCCACAACTGGAAGGCAGGCAGCTTTATTTCCTCAGCTACCACCTCCCTCCCAATTCTGCCCTGGTTCTCATCGTCTGCAGTCAAAAAGAACCTGACAGTAGTCATCAAGCCAGCCAGCCCCCTTTAACAAAATTTTCCACTGAATCTCACAAAGCTCTGTTTTCCCCCGAGGTATGGCCCCAGATTCTGGTCTGGACAGAGAAAAAAAAAGTAATTGCAGCTGGATGCTTACAAAAATAAACAAAGGGATAAGAGAAGAAGGAGAGGACAAGCCTGCAACTAGATGAGAATGACACATTATTTAACCTAATTACCTGCAAAGCCACATCTCGCCATTAAGGATCTATATCCTGTAATAGAATTTCCTGCCATGGAAATACTCACCCACGCACAGGATGTTGAAGCAGAAGCCCTGGCTGACTGACTTATTCACCAGCTGGTCAGGCAAGCTGTCAAACCCCACATGTCCAGCCAGGGGGACAGTTCGGCAACCTTCGCCCTAATTTGAAAAGGGAGGGAGGAGAGAAATGACAATGTGCTTAAAAGCCATTTGGATCTTCATACTCCATCCACATACACTCTATCCTGTGCCAGGAAGTAACAACCACATGGACCCAACGTATCATCTCTTCCCTCGGCCATCCCACAACACACACACTTCAAAACAAAATGGCCCATCAGCTTGGACATCATGGGTGCTTGGGTACAGGTATCCAATAGGTTCAGTAATAAATACCGTTGTAGTTCTACACAGAACAAAGTATGTGGGCAGCTTATCCAGGTTGGCACTGGATGTTCCAAACTTGGATGAAGTCTCACCTCAATCATTTATAGGCTAGGGAACCTCTCTGAGATTTGATTTCCTTCAACACCTATCATATGAGGCAATACAATGTATTTTAGAGGTGACAAGAGGATAAAATCTGTTTACTAATACTTATAATGAACTTAATATGTGTACACACATTCAATAAATATTCCAAAGCCCTAGAAATCATTGACTCTTCTCTCTAGGACATTTTGGAGACCTATAAAGGTGGCCCAGCAGAGAGGTTAAGAGCACGGACTTGGGCAGGTAAGACGGCTCAGTGGGCAAATGTGCTTGCTGCCAAGCCTAATGACCTTAGTTTGATACCTAGGACTCACATGGTGGAACGAGAGAATCAATTCCCTTAAGTTGCCCTCTGACCTCCAAACTTGTGGTGCACCAGTACACACACACACACACACACGCATACCCTGAACAAATGTAAAAATCATTTTTAAAGTACTGATTTTTGAACCATGTAGGTCTGAGTCAGAGGCCAACCTATGCATTTCAACCTCTAACAAGTTACTTAAGTTCTTAGTCTTCTTCCCATTAGAAAGCCAAGCGTTAGAGCTTAATGTGCAGATTACATAGGACAATACACCTTATGCATATAGTGTACTGTCTGACATGTGAAAGGCATCCAAACAGTAGTTGACCTTATCGCAGCACTGTAAGGTTATCTTTGGACTCCAAACTGACCCATCATGCAGTAAAACATTTGTAGCTCTCTGTGTAGCTTAAAGGGACCTGTCTGTCTCCAGGCTTCCCCTGGTTCCCTTGACTCCACAGGGGTCAGCCAAGCCACTCCCAGCCCTGGAAAGCATAGAGCCAAGATTTCTTATAGTTAATGGTTTTACAAACAAGGAGAGTTTCAAACTCAGGCAAACTTCCAAAGAACCAACAGGAAGGACGAAAGGGGCCTGCATGTACTGAAGAAATATGCCAACCACTAATGGTCACAGCCAAGGGTGGGGTGTCAGGAGAAGGGTGGGGAATGGAAGCTGGAGAAGACGAGCTTCACAAGAATGATGGGCTATGGAAATAGGCAGAGATTCTGTGGGGTGAGGCTGCACCAAACTTTCCGTAACCAGCAAGATGCCAAGACCAACCCAAAAGGTCATGGTTTGTGCCAGGAGGCCTGGACCAGCATTTCAGGCTGTGCCAGCAGGCAGCTCTTACAGTGACTGGACCTGCTGCTGGACTGGGTGTCACACCAAAATAGATTGGATGTGATGGTGGAGGAGCTGCTCAGCTGTTGATGTAGTCAGATGGCCCCCTCACCTCGTTGGGGGAGGGGGAGTCTCCCTGATCCATCCCATCAGTGCCCACGGATCCTCCATGAGCTTCTGCTGGTGACTACCATCTGGTATGTTCATTCCCCTCTCACTTTTGTCCACATAAACTTCCAGCAGAGCACACTCGACAGACTGCAATATGCCATCATTGAGTCAGGTTGATGCATTCCTTGCTCACCTAAAGATGAGTTCCTTGACGGATGCTCAACACATTGCTCTGCACTCACTTCACCCCTTTCCACTTCCCTTTGCCTATTTCCCACCTTTCTTCCTTCTTTCCTTCCTTCCTTCCTTCCTTCCTTCCTTCCTTCCTTTCTTTTTTTTTTCTGCTTAAAGCAAACAACAAGCTGGACGTTTACCATTGTTGGTTCTCAGCCCTCGGCAAAGCAAAGAGACTTAAGAGCCAATATGCTCTCTCCAGGGAGCCTCCTACGTAGCAGGCTTCAAAATTGGGACAGACTCAGAGTTGAGGTTTCCTGAGCCATATTTTATCATCTCTTCCTGTCTCCAAATTCAGCACTCTGAAACTTCAAGTGCTCCAAAGTCCAAGGAATTCTCAAACTAAAGATAGCAGGCAGTTGGGGGGGGGGAGCCTTACCTTTAAATTTTACTTCACTGTGAAAGAATTACCAAATATGGGGGCCAGGGGGTATTTCTGTGGGTAGAATGCTTGCCTAGCACACACGAAGCCCAAGGTGTAATTCCCAGCACCATATAAATAAGGCAAGGTGGCATACAACTGGAATCCCCACGCTCAACTATAAAGCTTTACAATGAAGCTATACTCCCAACCACAGTTTCCCTCTTTCGAGTCTCAGGTCAGGTCACTTGACTTCAACCAGCATTTCTTTTCTCAAGGTATGTGGATGTCAGCCCGCCAATTCAATACCACTGGAGGCATATCCTACCCCTACTTTCTTGTTCTTTCAATCAGTCAAGCGTCTGTAGATAGAATGAGCTTTTACAACAACTCCTGTTGTGGGGCTGGAAAGATGGATCAGCAGTTAGGAGCACTTGCCGTTCTTACAGAGGCTTGGTTCCCTACGCGCCAGTTCCAGAGAATCTGCTGCCTTCTTCTGACCTCTGAAGGCCCCAGGCACACACATGGAGAGTATGCATGCATGCAGCAAACCCATGACACATAAAGCAAATCTAAAAAAATATTTTTAAATATTGCATGGATCATGGCACTCCCTGCTCAAAATACCCCAAGTTCCCCAAGCCCATTGCTTGTAGAGTAAAATCAATGCTCTTCCTTTTACTGTTTTGGGTTCTTTATACTGCTGTGGGAGATAATGGCAGTCACACGGTAGGCGTTTGGTAAATTTTCATTTGGGGACAGGGTCTCAAGTAGGCCATGCTTATCTCAAATTCAACATATTGCAGAGAAGTCACTTACATTTTTAATCTTTCTGCCTCTACTTCCCAAATGCTCAGATTAGGCCTGTGCCATCATACTCAGCAGAAATTATTAGACAACATAGAAGTCATCAGGAAGAGAATAAAAAGCATCTATCATATTCTCATTCTCCCAAGATAAGCAATATGTGCATGTATTTCTTGCCATTCAGTACAAAACAGGGATACTGTTATGTCTTCCTTTGCACATCTGATTTAATACCCTGATGCTTAGTGCAGATGTCTTCTTGAGTGTTTGGCTATGCTTTGAAATCATTAATTTCAGTAGAATAGTGTCTTTTTTAAAGATCCGTTTTCTTTTCAAAGATGTGCACTTGTGTGTGTCTGTTTTGGGGTATGTGTGCACGAGTGTTGGTGCCTGCAGAGCCAAGAAGGGATTGAATCCCTTGAAGCTGGAGTTACAGGCAAGTGTTAGCCACCTGATATGGGTGTTGGGGATCAAATGCAGATCTTCTGCAAATATGGTATGAGCTCTTAACCACTGAGCCATCTTTCCAGGCCCCAAATCACTATTTTTATTGGCCATATAGCATACCCATGCAGGAATCTGCCACATATTCCTAATAGAACTTCTACTACTGGACATTTAGTATCTCTAAGTGTGTCTACATAAAACAAACTACAACAACAAGTGGGTTTTTGTTTTTGTTTGGGGGGGAGGGTTGCAAATGTCTCTATTTCCTAAAATTGAAGCTTCCTGGACCAAAGCGTCCATCTATTTTACATCTATTTGTTTGTTTGTTTGTGGCAGCACACATATCATAGTGCATATGGCAGTCAGGAAACAAACTAGAAGAGTCAGTTATCACCTTCTATGTGGGTCTTGGGTGTCAAACTTAAGTTTTCAGGCTTGGGAACAAGTACCTTATCCACTGAGCTATCTTGCTAGCTCAAAAGGGTCCCACATTTTAAACCCTGATACATCATTTAACAGAGGGCAGTACTAGTGTGTACTTCTTTCACTAGTTTGTATATGTTTGTGTACCCAAGTGTCATGGGCTTTTATCTACTGTGAACTAATTCATTGGAAAATGGTATCACATTCTGTAACACAAATAATAAAAGACCCAGAGACTGATATTCAGATTCAAGCTTCAAGCTGAAGATCAGAAAAGCAAAGCAGCCATCCACTAGCTTCTTACTTCTACCTCAGACTGAAAGGTTGATCCTGCCTCCACGAGCTCTCTTCCAAGCCTCGGACTGCTGCCTTTCCTCAATGTGGCTGAAGACTAAATCTCAGAATGTAGCCTGAGACACTGGGTTCCTGACTTTTATATACCCCTCTAGGCCTGGGATTAAAGGCATGAGCTCTAATTCTCTTTTAGACTGATTCTATCTGATGTAGATACGAGTGGCCTTGTACTCACATAGAGATCCATCTACCTCTGTCTCCTGAGTCCTGGGACTAAAGGTATGTGCCACCTCTGCCTAGCTATATAGCCTGCTAGTATGGTTGATGGAATTAAAGGTACGTGTTACTATTTTCTGGACCTCTATGGCTGTGGCTAGCTTTGCATTCTGAATCCTCAGGCAAGCTTTAATAAATCATAAGTAACATCAATATAACATTCTTTAATTTGCATTTTATTAGTGATAGAAACATTTTTAAAAACTTTCAACTGGTATATGGATTGTGTGTGTAAATTATGTAGTCATGATTTTGCTCATTTCAAAATGCTTGTCTTTTCTCTTTAATTTGTAAAAGCCTTACACGCATGGAGGAAAATAAGATTTGATTTCATAGTGAGATAGCTAAGAAAGTCAATAAGTAGTTAGCAACATGAGGTCTTAGGTGCAGACAGCATTTAAGGGTAAAATAGAAATTTTAGGGGTGAGAGATATCAAATTGGATGTGCCTTCTGAGAGGTAGGAAAGGAAAGCTAAAGAATAAATATAGGAAATACCCATGAGCAATGGGAAAATGAAGGGGATTTTACCATGACAGGGAAATATTCAGAAAAGTGAAAGATGACC